ATGTAGAATCTGTTTGGGCCACATGAGCTTGTGCTTAGGTTTATGTGGCCCTCCTGTGTAATAAGGTTGGGCACCACTGTCTTACAATTTGAATTCCTCATGATGTTGCATTAGAGTTTTGTACTGAATTAATGATTATTCCTAAGCAAGGATGGCTATTGTCTCTCTTTAAACACTGGAAATGCAACATTTCATTTACTATCTCATCGCTGTATGCAGAATAAATACGAAATTGCAGTATGGTATAAATATAAACTCTGCTTTGACCATAGTCATGAGAATTATATGACAGCTGCACTCTTCCCGTCTGATTGAACTTTGTTGTAAAAATTTAATATTGCAATGGTCTAATGAGGGTGTGCATATTCAAATACGAAAATGCACGCTGAAAAGATAACAGTTTCAAGAAATCAGTGACTTGGCATAGATATGGTAGGTTTGAAATTTGGGTGTCCAATATAATTATGCTTACAAGACACTTCTCAGGGGGCTAATCAGAATTCAGTAGCTGAGCCTATAAAAGAATGTTGTGTTTGTCATCAAGAGCAAATGATGATTGTAAGGGAAGGAAGCAGCAGTGGAGAGCCATAGCTCTGTCTGCAGTAGAAAATAAGAAGCAGGTACAATTTCCTCTTTTGCTTTCTAGTTCTCCATCAATGATCATTGTATCGCTATTAAGGCTATGTTTTAGTCACGGGTATTTTTAGTAAAAGTCATGGGCAGTAAACAAAAATTCATGGCCTGTGACCTGTCCATGACTTGTATTATACACCCCTGACTAAATCTTGGGGTAGGGGGACAGCCCGGGAGTGCAAGGGGTGCTGGGGGAAGGCTGCCTGGAGGGCACCATGTGTGCTGCTGGGGGCTGGGAAAAACCTCGCTGATGCTAGGGGGGGAAGGGCAGTGGCATGTGGCCGGGGACAGTTGGCGGGGCTGGCAGGCTCCCTACCTGGCTCCGCGCCTCCCCAGAAGCAGCAACATCTCCCTCCCTCAGCTACTAGGTGGAGATGTGGGCAGGCAGCTCTGTGCGCTGCCTCAACCCTGAGCACCAGCTCTGCAGTTCCTATTGGCCGGGAATCGCGGCTAATGGGAGCTGCGGGGGCAGTGCTTGCAGGTGGAGGCAGCACACAGAGCTGTCTGGCCATGCCTCCACCTAGGAGCTGAGGGAATTTGCTTCTGCTGGGGAGCCCCCCTGAGGTAAGCACCACTCACAGCCCTCACCTCCTCCAGTGCCCCAATCCTAAGCCCTGAGCCCCCTCCCACACCCAAACTCCTGCTACTGCTGTGGGGGGGCAGGGACCTGAGAGTGCCCCAGCAGCAGCCAGTGCGGCTGGCCCAGGGGCCACTTGCACTGCTCAAGTGGCCCCCAACCGCAACGGCCACTGCAGAAGTCACAGAGGTCCCAGAAAGTCACGGAATTGGTGACAAACTTGCAGCCTTAATCATTATTGTTCATTATTGTTTCCTGCTAACAAGCTGTTAATAAATACAACTTTAAAGCCACATCATGGCTTTCATGGGAAAAGTGCACAGCAGGATCATAAAACTCTTTGTTTCAATTCACTTCATTTCCTCCACATCTTCCAGGAGCAAGGTTTTCACCCAACAGAGGTGGTAGCCCTCCTCACCTGCCGTGGGTACCCTAAGATCATCATGAGACATCTGCAGAATACTGAGGCATATTTGCAGAGGCCTTATAATAATAATACCAAGAATTTATAGAGTGGCTTTTTAATCAGTAGATCCCAAAGCCCTTTACACAGGAGGTTAATGTCATTATTCCCATTTTACAGATGGAGACATTGAGGCATATAGTGGAGCAGTGATTTGTGTCCAGCAGGCCCGTGATAGAGCCCAAACTAGAACCCATGTTTCCTGAGTCCTATTCCAGTGCTCTATCCAGTAGATAACACTGTCTCCTTTACTAGTGCCTCCATACGAACCCCTGGTCTCCCCTCCTCTGACTCCTTATGCCAGAAGTAATTGTGGCCCATAGAGACGATATTTTCCCTGCTGGAAAGAATTTCTAAGGAGGTGAATAAGTAACATATTTACAGATTTCTCTTGTGTGAAAGTCCTTGTGTCTATATACATTTATCTCTTTAAGGGTTCTCATTTCTTAGGCCTATTATTAAAGACTATTAATTATTTAGAAACCCACCCACATTTAATCTGGAATTTAATTTGTAGAGGTCTTGCCCATTCATGTGGCCAAAATATTGATAAGGTAAGAAAAACTTTTTATGTTTTATATTGCTAAATCGACTGCCTTTTGTTTGCTAATAGGTGTAGAATATAGATACCACAAAGATTTTTCATGAGGGTTTTCTACTTTTCATAAGTGACATTTTCTTTTGATATGAGACACTCACTATTTAACAGGAAAAATAAGAGAGTAAATAAAGCACATTTCCACTGACTTTCAATAGAAATCTCAAGGAATAGAATAATCTGGCTGTTGTTGCTGAGCAATTATTGTGTAATTGCCCATTTATGCCACATGGGAGAGTCCTCAGCACATGTCATCACAGCATCTATTATTCAGAGATGAGGATTTTGCGAATGAGCTGTACTTTGATCATTTTAATCCTAGTTCGTTTTTAATTAAGGCTTTGTGCTTAGAATCTCATAATTTTTCTAAAGAAAAAATGTAAGGGATCTGGATGTTCCAGACGTTTTAAGGGCTACTCTTTGTGTTCACTATATACATTCGATTTCATGTGAGTCCATTTGAGACCTATGATTAGGGTTACCACCTCCAAGGCAAAGAAAAACCAGCCATTGGCCAACTCCCCCTTCTCCCCACAATAAAAAGGGTCCTAGTGCTGACTATGGCTAATTATTTCTAAAAGGTTTTAGAGGAACACAGTTTACACACACACGTGCGCATGTATGTGTAGTTTTAGGCTATTTTAATCATGTGTCTTACCTTATCCTGACACAGCACCACAGTGCAGACTACAGGGGTGTGAACTGTAGAGCACTATGACATGAACACACAAATGGCAGATTAAATCTTTTAATCAAAAAGGCACCACAAATACCAGCCAGGCAGATTAAAAACCATCCAGATAGCAACCTTACCTATGATACATGCACACAATTTGTTTGAGGCACAAGTGTAGCTCATAATGCAAAGTCTGGTCTATTTCATTTTCTATTTCAGACACAGAACCAGCCCATTACTATAACTTTTCCTTCCTGACATCACTCATAGGCAAAATGGGACAGAGAACCAATGACAAGAAGAAAGAGTTTTGAAAGTTTACGATCAAAACCCTGATCCTGTAAAGGCTTAAACATGTGAGTTTATTCATGTGAGTGGTCCCATTGTAGATCAGACCCACAGTGTGTCCTTATGCCAGGGAAATGAAAATAGTCTTTAGCTTTCTCATTAAATTCCATAGCAAAGAAGAATTGATTTAACTTTTTCTTTAAAAGAAATTGTTGATAGCAGGAAAAAAATCATTCAAAAAAAAATCCAAACATTTAGGGTTAGATTTTTAAACCTCTCACTAACTTTGTTGAATAGTTAGTCACGTGAGTAATCCCTTTGAAATCAATGGGTCCACTCTGCTGTGTTTGGATCTGAATTAATGGTGGCTCCCACCATGTGCCAAATTTCCCCAAAGATGGTATATGCATGCACAGAAACAGCTGCCTGGCCAGAAGTGGTGCAATTGACACATACCCAAACAATTGTCCAGCCTGTGTGTGTAAAGGCTCTGTATTGCACACACAGGTACTAGTTTCCCAAAAGTGAATGTGCAATGTAGCATTGCACTCAAATGGAAGCCAGCTTGTGTTCGCTTTGCACACCTGACCCCGTGTCCACTTTTTAAAAATATAAATATTCTTATGAAACCATTTAAAACTTAGATTCTGTGTGCCTCTGTGTGTGTGTGTTTAAATACAGCAAATTGCTGTGTATGCCAAAGGGTAGAGTAGTACACATATGGGAGAATATGGACGCACAACAATATAGGGGGAACATTACCAACAGCACCATGGCAGCGTTTCTGGAAATTAAATCACTGAAGCTCAACAGCTGGTTGGGCTCCTAGACCCTGCTTCAGGAAAGGAGTTACACACTTGTTTAGTTTCAAGTACATACTTAATTGATTTCAGTGAGACTTAAGCCTGTGCTTAAAGTTAAGCATGTGCTTAAGCACCATTTCTGAATCGGGCTCGTTTCCTGAACTGCTGCCTTTTACTGCAAGCTTTTTGGGGCAGAGACTGTCGTTTATGGTATGTTTGTAGAGCACCTAGTGCAACGGGTCCCCATCTGACTGGCCTCTTGGAACTACTGCAATTGGTATGTTCAATTCTAATAATGTAACCTAATCATTGTGGCCCCCTCTTCGATCTCCTTGCAGGCCTGGGGCCTAAATTCTTAAATGAAATGGCCAGTAAATGTATAATTGTAAAGTGGCCCAATACCTTGGTGAGGGGAGCCAAAAAAGAAAAAAAAACCTTGTTATGGAGGACAATGGGAGTTGATTGCTCAGAGAATGCGGCATCAGGCTCGAACATAAGCCATCAAAACAAGAATTACAATAAAAATGATGCTTTCAAAACATTTATCACCTACTGTAAAAAGTTCTTTTGCATTCCTAACTACCAGATTTGTAGAAAATCTGGTTTTACTGGACAGTTTTCATGACAGAGGATGTGGGAGGAGAGAATCTGTAATTGATTTTTTAAAAAGAACCAGGAGAAAATGAGAAATTATAACTAAGGAGGAAAAATCTGACAAATCTTTCCCAGTGAGTTGAAGGAACCAGGAGAGGGGGCTCTAGCAGGGTTTCCGGGGTAGGACTCTGGCATCAAAAGCTGTTGTGTAGCTGTTTGAGGGCGTGTTGATTTTGCTTATAAACTTTGTCCTCCACCAGTGTCAGCAGCAAGTGGATGGTCAGGGCTGTGCCTGCTGCTCTCAGGTTTCCCTCTACCCCAGTCACTCGTCCCTCATACAGCTGCAGGTGTGCACCTGGCCAGGGAAGATGCTGCTGCAGGCTGTCCCTGGGTTAATGTGGCTCTGGCAGAGCATGCCCTTTCAGACACTGGTCGTGTTCTTAGGCCTGTTCCTGCTGATTGCTGACTGCATGAAAAGGAGACGGCCGAAGAATTTCCCTCCAGGACCTTTGCCCCTGCCCTTCCTGGGCCACATGCTCCATCTGGATTTCAAACAGCCCCATAGCTCCATAGAGAAGGTAAGTGGGGAAGGGGAGCAAGGATAGGAGTTCCGTTTGCAAGAGGTTTTTTTTGAACCAGGGAACAGTGGGTGAGAGAGGCCCTGGGTCAGACCCTCAGCTGCGCCTGAAGATGTATGGCACAACTCATGATGGCACCACCTCTCCACTGCCATGACCTTGGGGTTGTTCTGGTGCTGTTCTGGCCCCTGGCATAAATTAGGGCCATCTCTAGACTGATCTGTGTTGTACCAGCTACTAACAGTAGCTGGCCCAGTGGGCCATTCCGGAAGCCTGCTGCCTGGGATCACCAGAGCACAGGGAAACCTCTGGTCATACCCCTTTTCCCTCAGCCAATGTCCAGGATGTGGGGGGTCCCATCTGTGGATTCCTTTCCACATGGAAATCCTCAGGAGGTAGGATCCTCCAGGTTTATGTCTGCTTTGTGCTGGGGTACAGTTTAAATTAGATTTGATGTATCAGCGAATTGAGGCCTGATTACATGTGGATGGCAGTGTCTAATGCAGTGCACAATGTACCATGGCTTGAAGGTAGCTAGTGGGGAGTTGTGAGTGTGACAGGGGGCTTGCAATGTGTGCAGGGGGTTGGGCAGTGCAGGAGCAGGCCCACAAGGACTTACCAGGTAAGAAGTGGCTCATAAAAAGTTACCAAGTATCGAAGGACTGAGACTTGGAAGAGACTGTGTAGGGTTTGAGGTTGGTGCTCATCGGGGTTGGAAAGAGTTCACAAGGACCTAGGTTGTGTGGAAACTTTCAGTGACGTTTCAAAAGGGCTTGAGGGAATTTAATTACAGGGTTTTAAACAGGTTTGCGAAGAATGCAGGCTTGGTAAAAACTTGTAAGGAGTACGGGGAGTTGGGCAAGGGTTGGAAGCACCCTGCCCTACGAGGGAGGATGTGATTAACTGGGAGCTCATAAGGGGTTAGAAAGTGACTTATGAAGCCCAAGGGAATTTAGAAGGTTATTTGTGAGGGCCGTCCCCTTGCAAGGGCTAGAATGGGTTCCTTTCACACAGGCCTCCATGGAAGACAGTAATTTGTTCTCCGCAGCTTTCAGTCACATCCCAAGTGTCCCAGGGGGCTACGTAGTATATTGTGAGGTGGGTGTAGGCCAGAAGGAAGGGGTGCTTCTGACAGAACTAGAGTGTGTTTTGTTTAAACCAGAGTGTTGATTTCTTCACTATAGGAATGATCATTGAAGGGCAACTTATCTACAGTCAGTATTGCTACCAGCCAGGAAGGTGTCTGCTCCTCTCAGCTTAGAGTGGGCTGATTGTCAATAATTATTATTTACCAGCAGGTCTGTTTTATTTTGACATCCCTTAGGAAAAGGCACAGGGCATTCACTGTCCTTAGATATGCTTGTTTTACCGTTACCTCATTTTCCTCCCCATTTATATGCTTCATCCACCTGTTATATCCAGTTGTGATCTCTTTTGGAAAAGGGTCTGTCTTTTTAATCAGTGCTTGAACTGCTGGGACCTTAAGTGCTATTGTAATACAAATAATAAATAATACTAATTGTAAAAAAAGTAAGAAGTCATCACATGGGCTCTAGCTCTCATTATCAAACAAATTAAATATGAACTAAGCCACATGCTCTTTTCTTCCCCCCAGCTTGCTGGAAAATATGGCAACATTTTCAGCATGCAGTCTGGTAACCTGACATTTGTGATTGTAAATGGATTCCAGCTGGTGAAGGATGTGCTTGTCCATCAGGGTGAATACTTTCTTGATCGCCCACAAATGCCTCTTATCTACGAAATCTTCGGTACGTTTGGTAAGTTTCTTTTTTATCTTTTTCTTCAAGTATTTCAGGTGTAACATTTTTAATAATCAAGGCACCGATCCTGCATACACTTACAAATGGGCTTCACTTTATGCACGTGAACAGTCTCATTGAAGTCTGCTTTGGGGTAGTAACTTAGGTCCAAAGGTGTTTAACTTCTAGTAAAATCAATGGGAGTTAGGCACCTAAATACCTTTGAGGATCTGGGCCTTAGTAATTTCCTCAATTCTGCAAATACTTACACATGTGCTCATGTCTCATTGACTTCTCATGTTTACATCCCTGGTGGCAGCAGCAGAGAGTCACATGGCTACCACGGAGCTGTGATGGCAAGTAGAATGGACTTCCCTCCTGGATGGTCCCTTGCAAGTTTTCCTTCAGCAAGAGTCAGTGTGGGAGGATTTAGACTTCTGAAATCCCTCAAAATTGCATCTTCCAACCTCATTCATGATCGGCATTGAGGCCTACTTCTGTCAACCTCAGCTCTATGTACATTCTGTAAAAGTGTACCTTCTGCATGTTGGACATGACCCCACCATTGCTAGAGCCCAGGCACTCTGATATAATAGTTATAATAGCGATGAGCATGGCAAACAGAACAGAAGAAAATATCCTGTGGAAAGATAGCCAGGCCTCACTTAAACTTGAAAAAGGAAAGGAGTGTTAAAGTTTTCTAATCTTCTAATGACCATTACAATACACCATGCATCCGATGAAGTGAGCTGTACTGTCGCTCATGAAAGCTTATGCTCTAATAAATTTGTTAGTCTCTAAGGTGCCACAAGTCCTCCTTTTCTTTTTGCGAATACAGACTAACACGGCTGTTCCTCTGAATACACCAGGTGTCATTTTTCACCCCAGGATTAGTCAACTCTAATGGACATGGCTGGAAACAACAAAGAAGATTTGCTTTATCAACTCTAAGAAACTTTGGCCTGGGGAAGAGGAGCTTGGAAGAACGAATACAGGAGGAGAGCAGATACCTCACAGATGCAATTGAAGAAGAAAAAGGTGAGAACTAGAGAGAATGACACTTTAATTGTTCTATCAAAAATTGTGGCTCTTTTTTGTCAATGAACGTGAAACAACAGAGATGTGCCTGAAATGTGATGTTGGAATCCAGAACTTTCCTAACCCTCAGTTCAGATGAGGGATTGGCTTAGCCCATTAGACATATATACACCTTGGTGCCACGGTCCAGATCTGGATACGGATCCAAAAGTTTGGTGGTGTTTGGGATTCATGTTTTTATATTGGTCAGTAATGGCATGAAATGCTGAGTCGTCAGCTTGCCTTCAGACTCTACGTACCCACACAAATTTACAAAACAGTCCCACAGAAGTGTTCATTGCCAAGATTAATGACCATGGAGAGAAACTGGTTCATAATCACATGTATGTAAAACCTCCTTGTACTATAACAAAGCCAGAGACCTGTGTGAAATGCAGCAAACGTTGCTCAAGGGATATGTATGCGTGTGTGGGTGTGTGTGAAAAATGCATATTTTCAGGTTTTATTAATGGATTTCATACACATCAAATAGTTTATGTCTGTCAGCAACTTTCTTCCCCTTTCGTAAGAAACAAGAACATCGATTTCTCTCCTTTTCTCTTCCAGGGGAACCTTTTGACCCTCACTTTAAAATTAACAATGCTGTTTCCAACGTTATCTGTTCCATCACTTTTGGGGACAGGTTTGACTATCAGGATAGTCACTTCCAGAAGTTACTGCAGTTGATCGATGAGACTTTGTACCTTCAGGGAACTATTTGGAACCAGGTAGCACTTGTTTGATTTTGACTGTAAACATGAAATCAATGGCAAAATCCCAAGCAAAAAGAAAAGGAGTACATGTGGCACCTTAGAGACTAACCAATTTATTTGAGCATAAGCAGTTTCAGTGGAAGCAGGACTGAGCGTGACAATGTCGTCCCAGATTCATTTCTACCATAGCCTGACTGGGGTAACCAGGCTCTCATTTCCCCAACAAATCTCTCTCCACCTCAGTACCCCCTCTGGTTAGTCTCTTTCACCTAAAAAAAAAGAAAAGGAGGACTTGTGGCACTTTAGAGACTAACAAATTTATTTGAGCATAAGCTTTCGTGAGCTACAGCTCACTTCATTGGATGCATACAATGGAAAATACAGTGGGGAGATTTTATATACACAGAGAACATGAATGTGCCAGCAATGCCCCTCTGCCATGTACATTGGTCAAACTGGACAGTCTCTACATAAAAGAATAAATGGACACAAATCAGACGTCAGGAATTATAACATTCAAAAACCAGTCAGAGAACACTTCAATCTCTCTGGTCACTCGACTACAGACCTAAAAGTGGCAATTCTTCAACAAAAAACTTCAAAAACAGACTCCAGTGAGAGACTGCTGAATTGGAATTAATTTGCAAATTGGACACCATTACATTAGGCTTGAATAAAGACTGGGAGTGGATGAGTCATCACACAAAGTAAAACTATTTTCCCATGTTTATTCCCCCCTTCCCCCACTGTTCCTCACAGTTCCTGTCAACTGCTGGAAATGGCCCGCCCTGATTATCACTACAAAAGGTTTTTTTCTCTCCTGCTGGTAATAGCTCACCTTACCTGATCACTCTCCTTACAGTGTGTATGGTAACACCCATTGTTTCATGTTCTCTGTGTATATAAAATCTCCCCACTGTATTTTCCACTGCATGCATCCGATGAAGTGAGCTATAGCTCATGAAAGCTTATGCTCAAATAAATTTGTTAGTCTCTAAGATGCCACAAGTACTCCTTTTCTTTTTGCGGATACAGACTAACACAGCTGCTACTCTGAAACCGATCTCTTTCACCTGGCCCGCATGAAGCTATCCTGGCAGATCCTCAGTCTGACTTCTCTATGCCAGTGCCACCAACCCACAGGCACTTCGCGTGATCTCTAATGGGGCTGACGACCCAGTGGGATGTTTCAGTGGGCATCAGGGAGGTGTGAGTAGGTGAGAGGAAGAAGAAAAAGTGCCAAATCCTCGCTACTCCCAAGCAACTCCATTCCTTGCTGTCACACTGTGCATTGGACTCTGTGCTCAGGGCAGGGTTGGCTAAAGGACCTGTGTGGTGGGGGGTAGATTCGCTGGATACTCTTGTGGCAGTGAAGATGGCGAGGTGTTATTACGCAACAGGCCTAGTGGGAGGTGACCCCCAGAGGCAAAGCCAACCTACTCTCAAGGTCAAGGTCTCGTCCAGCTGGCAGCTTCTTCTGGTGGCCCCATTTGCAGGGACAAAGCACTGTGTTTCATAATGGTACTGGCTCTCTGACATAGGCCCTGAAATCAGGGACGATCATGGTTTCCAGGGACACGTTGTTACCAAGCCCCTGTTGGACCTTTCTCCTCTTGTTGCCTCCCAGTTCAGCACAGCATAGTGGCTGAGATGAGACATAATCCTGCCACTGCACCAGCGGTCATGTTGAGAGGCAAAGCACAGTGCCTGCCTGGTGACCTTTATATCCTTCCTCCCTAGTAAATCAACGAATCATTACCAGGGTGGCCATTCAGCCATCTGAAGTGGCTGCTAACACACAGCCTCAGGTAATACAGTGCATTTTCCTGTAGGGGGCGCCAAAGCAAGAGGAGCAGTAGCCGGTGACGAGCCCAGCAGTGGGCGGAGAGAACACAGTGCATATCTTAACGAGAAAGAATGGGCTTGTGGTTAAAACTCTGCACTGGGACTCAGGACACCCAGCTTCACTTTCTGGCTCTGTAACAGATGCCTGTGCGGTCTTGGCCAAGTCACTTAATCTTTCTCTGCCTCAATGCTCACTCTCTAAAATGGTGATAATATTTCCTTTATCTCACCCTTTGTCTGTTCTGTCTCTTTGAATTCTCGGGGCCTCAAGTCAGGGCTGACTGTTATGTATATATGAACTGCCTACCACACTGGGGTCCTGAGGGCTCTGAGCACGTCCATAATACTATTATGTATTAATGTGGTTTAATAAACACGGTGTCTTCAGCAGAATGCATGTGAGTGTATTAATCAGCACTTTTCTAAAACGAGGCTAAAACGTATTGTGTGCTGTTTGTATGTCAAAAGCTGTATAACTCCTTCCCCACCATAATGAAGTGGATACCTGGACCCCATCACACCATTTTTAAAAACTGGGAAAAACTGAAGTGTTTTGTGAGGGAAATGATTGCAAAGCATAAAGAGGACTGGAATCCATCTGAACCCAGAGACTTCATTGACTGTTATCTGAAGGAAATTGCAAAGGTAAGAGTGCAAAGAACAAAGTGAACAGGAACAAAGCACTTTTTGTTTTAAAAATTGGAAGTAGAATGACAGTAACAGGGCTCACCAGTTGAGTTGTCTGAGCATCTGACCCGCCATTAATTTACAGTTAGAAACCCCAGGTAGGATGGAACTGATTCAGCAAAGCCTTTAAGCACGTTTTCCTTTAAGCAGGGGAGAGCAGGCTCACTGAAGTCAGAGGGACGACTCGGATGCTTGAGTGCTTTGCTGAATTGGGGCCTAAAAATGTAAGGTTTCCTTGTGCTTTAGGGGCCAGACCCAAAGCTGGTTGAAGTGCCTGGGAGTCTTTCATTGACTTCAGCAGGCCCTCTGCTCACACCTAGTATCAGCTTAAACTTTTCATTCTCAAGAATGGTGCTAAAAGTACAGTCTTTCTATCTAATGGTACTGTCCTGTGAGGTGCTGGTGCTCTCAACTCTCACTGAAGGCAATGGAAATTCAGGGCACCCAGCACGTTGCAAAATTGAGCCTGGAATGATGTTTTGTATAATACTAATACACCAAAGTAGTCCCACCCACGTATATCTTTATTCTAAGGCTGACGCCGACCCCAGTTTCCATGAAGAAAATCTCTTATTTTCCACACTGGATCTTTTTTTTGCTGGAACTGAGACAACATCTACAACCCTCCGCTGGGCTCTGCTGTACATGGCCATATATCCAGACATTCAAGGTAGATGGTAATGATTTATATTTCTCACTTCTTAATAGCTCTTGAATTTCTACCCTTAACCCTTGCCACAGCGGGGTCTTTTCACAGAACTCAGAATGTTGATTTATTAAATCCTCTTCAGCCTTGAGATGTGACCCATGCAGGCTACAAGGGGGACCTGTGTTGAAAATAATGGCAGATATAATCTGCTTCATTTAATGCAAAATAGGTGCAGTCCTTGGACTCTTGGAAAGCTGCTGGAATAACCCTGTGCCCACAAAATTTGAGAGTCTTGCCTGACAGAGAAAACCAGCAGATAAATATTTTCATGCTCAGATATCTCTTGGGTCAGCCAGTAATTGACTTTGCTATTTTGAACAGGGACAAAACAGGTATTGATAATGCCTTTACATTTGATTTTGAGAAGTGGAGTAAATGCCCCTTGACTTCCATATAGGTATAAAAGGAGGTCTTCCTATTATGCCTGAATTACATTTTAAAATTCCTCTCACCTCCTTACCACTACATTTGTCTGTGGCTAACCAGCTGTAGTTTTCTTATGTATTTGTATGTTCAGATCTCTACGTTGAGATTGATGCTGTTTCCAGTGCTTGACTTAAGCGTTATTAGGTATAGCCTTAAAATCAATGAACTCTGAACCCTGCACAACTTAAGCCCGTTGTTTCAAGAACATATTGTTTATTCTCATACCAATGGTGAACTCTGCTCTTTTCGTAGAGAGAGTGCAAGTGGAGATTGACGCAGTGATTGGCCAGTCTCGCCAGCCAGCCGTGGGTGACAGGGACAACATGCCATACACCAATGCAGTTATTCATGAAGTGCAAAGGATAAGCAACATCGTGCCTTTAAATGTGCCCAGAATGGCAACTAGTGACACTACACTGGCCGGATTCTATGTGCCGAAAGTAAGTGGAAGGAAATGTGATTTTCTTTCTTATCTTGGTTTAAGAAATTAGTGGCGATGAGCCCAAACGAAAGTCCCAGATAGAAACACCTTCGCACCCAGGAGGACCCCGTTCTGAATCTGAACCCATTTTGGGAATCAACTCAGATCCAGAGCTGCATTTTACAACTATTTCTATATTGGGCTAAAATTCCTTAACCAAAACCTTGGATGCTCACATTCTCAAGCTTTGAGGAAGTTGGAATCTAGAGCAGACTTTTGCAGTCTGTCTTCATAAAACATGATGTAAGTTGTTTATTTTTAATTGCATGAAACCATCATAAAAGGACTAAGAATTAGGTCCAGCACAAGTTCTCCACTGTGCCTATTGACTCATGAAAGATCAGCCAGGCTCTTGGACGCAAAGATTTAAAGGTATCTAGGCACCTAACTCTTTTGGAAATCAGTGGGAGTTATGTGCCTAAATGAGGGTCTGGGTTTTGGTGTCTGCAGATGGGAGCGGCTGCTGCTTTTTACAGGTGGGGCGTATCTCATCTCCAGCAGCTCCAGAATTCTGAACTGCTTTCTTCTCAAGCTGCTGCTTTTCTGACTCCACCTTGTCATGCTGCTGAGCCACACTTTCTCCCCATGTAAGGGAGCAGGCTGGAATTCCTACCCCACGTTCCCCGAGTATGTCCAGCAGAAGCTCTCCTCAGGTCCTAACACCTGGGTGCATTCTTCCTCTCCGGCTTGTGGACTGATCCTCAGTGAAATGGGGACAAATCCATGCTCAAGGGCAGTGAGCTCATTCTGGAGGTCAGCCAGGTAGAGGACCATTCTACCAGCAAGTGTGCCACAGGAGACCATTGCCTGTGTCAACCTTCCATTCTGCTGACAATAACCCTTCATTAATATAACTTTTGGGAAATATTTTCACACAGTCGCAGGAGGTGAGTGGGGGGAGGGATAGCTCAGTGGTTTGAGCATTGGCCTGCTAAACCCAGGGTTGTAAGCTCAATCCTTGAGGGGGTCATCTGGGTTCTGGGGAGTTGGGGATTGGTGCTGCTTTGAGCAGGGGGTTGGACTAGATGACCCCCTGAGGTCCCTTCCAACCCTGATATTCTATGAGAGTGCATTATATCTTCAATTAGGAGTGCAAAAAAGAACTTTAGCACACATGAGTGTTAGTTTGCAGGAGCACTTGCTGGATTTGCCTATAGGTATATACTGTAGACATATACATCACTCAAGGCCAACAACCACCACATCCCTGAAAATTTGGCCCTTAAAAAAGAAAGGTGGGTGGATGGGTTGTGCTCCTTTTTGATGTATTATGCTGTATAGAGAACACCTGAGAGTTTATATATTTTCTGCCTGTTTTTTCTATTAGAAATTCAACCTTGCCTACGCTGTTCTTCCTAGGAGATGCGGGAAAACTAGTAGGTCTATAACATCACACCTGTGAAGGAAATGAATCTGTTTAGTTGAGATGGGAAGTGATTTTTAGTCAGACCAGGGAAAGCCAGATTTGAAATTCTAGATAAATTTAGTGTAAAGAAGTGGCTGGAAAATTATCCTGTTTAAAAAAAAAACATCCTTTTGTGCCTTCTTTGTACATCATAAAAGATTAAAATGAAAGGCATGACCCCTTCTTTTTTGCCTCTTTGCGGGTCACAATTAAAAATGGAATCAGGGAAGGTTTAAATTCCTTTCTTTCTCTTTCTTTAGGGCACCGTTTTGATTCCCAATTTGACATCTGTGCTGTTTGACAAGAATGAGTGGGAAACCCCTCAGACTTTTAATCCTAAGCATTTTCTGGAGGATGGTCAGTTCAAGAAAAGAGAAACTTTCCTGCCATTCTCTGCAGGTGAGATGTGCAGGTGAGATGTGTCTGACTCTGTCGACTAGCACTATAGCACCAAGTCTTGGCCTCTCTCCTGTTTCAGTTTAGAAAAAACCCACAACATTTATCAGTGACAGAGGCACAGTGGAAAATAGAAAGCTCAGAAATGAAAATCATGGCCAGAGTTTGTGGGTTCAGCTTGTGCAGTTTTTTTCATAGGTAGAGAGGCCTTGTCATTCTTTAGCAAGTGCTCTCTCCTAGAACAAGGCTTGACACAACAACGGCAAAGAGCAGCCTCAGCTCTCCTGTCCTTAGTGGTATGTGTACACTGGAGCTGGAGGTGTAATTTTCTTGGTGGGGGTGATATACCCATGCTTGCTCTGCGTCAGCTAGTGCGCTAAAAATAGAAGTGTAGCCGTGGTGGTGCATGCAGCTGGATGGACTAGCTGTCCCGAGTACACCCCCTTCCGAGACCCTCCGAATATACTTGGGTGGCTAGCTGCTCTTGCCACCACGGATACACTTCTAGTGTTAGTGCACCAGCTCCAGTGTAGACATACCCTACGATGGGCACAAAGAGAAAGTAGCCTGTCTCACTTGATGGGAATGTAGGAGTGAGGACAGAAGGAATAGCCCTCCTCACCTTTTACCACTTCTTTTCAGTTGTAGGGAGAGACAGCAGGGGGAGTAAACGTGGTAAAGATGATAAAAGTGTGCGAGATCCCTGAAGCACCCTCATAAAAACCAATCAACCTTTAGAACATTTTACCATAGAACGTGGTGTATTCTCCATCACTTGGGCTCATTAAGGGCTGATCCCACACAATTTAAATCAATAAGAGCTTTAGCATTAAGTTCCTGAAACAAAAATGCATGTGAACCAGGGATTCACAGGTTTGCACAAGCCTCGTTTATATAAAGGTCTATCAGTGCTTTCTTGCAAATGAAAAGAACAAGCAATATTAGTATTTGCTATGTGTGGCTAAGGAAAGTATGTAATACCCTTGTCTTTTTAAGCGGTCTATCTAGAAACTAAGATTCAGGGACACACAGCTTTCTTCTTTAGTAATAATGCTGACGAGACCTGCGTGTGTTCAGCACACCATGTGTTATGTCATGGAGAAGCTAGGCCAGGGAAAGATTGCACCTCACCTATGTTATTTTATTTTAACTTTTTAATCAAGAAATAATACAGCTGTGTGTAGCTGAGAGTGTTAGGGAAGTAAGACATCAGCTAGACACAGAAATTGTAGTGTGTTAACTATATTAGTATACACGCCTCCTAGATTTCTGTCAGTTATGTGTGTGATTTTTGTTTAATCAATATAAGTTAAAACATCACCGCCTTTCTAGTGTGGATGCAGTTATGGGAAGGGGAATAAACTACACTGAGATTAGGCACTAGAATAAAGACATCGTTATACTGGTATAAAAATGTGTGTAGATTAGGCCTTCGATAGCTATGCAGAGATGTGGCTGATCATCCAAGAGCTCTCAGACATGATTGTTTCTATTAATAGAAGGAATTACGGAGGTACTGTTTTCAGAGGAACAGCCGTGTTAGTCTGTATTCGCAAAAAGAACAGGAGTACTTGTGGCACCTTAGAGACTAACCAATTTATTGGAGCATGAGCTTTCGTGAGCTACAGGTACTGTTATAATTAATGTAAACCTTAGCATCCACAGTTATAAGTGAAGGAAAATTTAGTCCTAAAAACAGGAAACAGGGACTCAGAAGGGAGGAACTGATGACAAAACCATTTCTTCTTCCTTGCTGTTCCGAAATTGCTGCTTTGGGAAATTAACGCCTCATTTGTCATGAGACCCAAACTGTTCTGACAAGAATCCTCTGGCTGATGTGCACAACTGTCTTCTTTTCAGGAAAGCGTGGTTGCCTTGGTGAGCAGCTGGCTAGAATAGAGCTGTTCCTGTTCTTCACCACCCTTCTCCAGAAATTCACATTCCAAGCTCCGAAGGACGTGAAGCTAAGTCTTCAGTTCAGAATGGGACTTACTCTCTCCCCACAGCCATACCAGATCTGTGTGCTGTCTCGGTAGGGAAAGCCAGGACATTTTCGTCGTTGCCCCATTTCTCAAAATACTTAGGGTTTGCTGTGCTAGTATATAGGGCTGCATCTGCAGTTCACTATGTCTCCAAATTTCCCTGCCTGCCTCCATTCTTATAACCCAACGGGGGCCCAATATCAGCAACTGGATGATTTGGGAACCTGATTTAGGAAAGGGGCTCTGGCTGTTGTGATACATCTTACCATGACGGCAGCTCTTCCTTATGTCCCTACCATACCAGTCTGTATGCATGTACACTCAGGATGGCCTAAGAATTCTCACTCCCATATCAATCTGGTTGAAAAAAGGTAAGTATATTTCATGAATTCTTTCAAAAGGAACATTTGGTTTCATTTGCAGTTTTTCATGAAATACAGTATTTAGTTTTTCAATGGAAACTTTTCAAAACAATTTTTTTTTTTAAAAATTTCACTGAAAAAAACACAACCAGGAGAGAACTTAAAAAAGTTAATACTAATTCATTTTTAAAACCTGCCCACATTGGGATTTGAATTCCTAACCTATACAGCAGTATTAGGGCTCTACCCTGCTGCCAGGAGAGTGGCTGAGAAACCACATGGACTTCAGATCAGGGGAGGGCAAACTATGGCCCACGGGCCACATCCAGCCCGTGAGACCATCCTGCCCGGCCCCTGAGCTCCTGGCCGGGGAGGCTCGCCCCCGGCCCCTCCCCCGCTGCTCCCCCTCCGCTGCAGCTACGCCGCCATGCAGGCAGTGCGGCTTGCACCCGCCCGCCTCCCAGGCTTTCAAATAAGCCTGTCCTGCCGCTCTGAGCGGCCTGGTAAGGGTAAGGGGATGGGGGGAGGGCAGGAGGTCCCGGGGGGCAGTCAGGGGACAGGGGGCAGTGGGATGGGGCGGAGGTTCGGGGGGTAGGAGGTTAGGGGGGACAGGGAGCAGGGGGGGTTGGATAGGGGTTGGGGTCCTGGGGGGGGCAGTTAGGGATGGGGGTCCTGGAAGGGGGTAGTCAGGGGACAAGGAGTGGGGGAGGGATGGATGGGTCGGGGATCCCAGGGTAGTCAGGGGATAGGGAGCAGGGTGGGTTGGATAGGGTGTGGGGTCCCGGGGGGTGGTTAGGGGCAGGGGGTCCTGGGAGGGGCAGTCAGTGGACAAGGAGCAGGGGGGGTTGTATGGGTCAGGGGTTCTGAAGGGAGTGAGAAGTGGGAGGGGGCAGATAGGAGGCAGGAGCCAGGCTGTATGGGGAGGCACAGCCTTCCCTACCCGGCCCTCCATACCATTTTACAACCCTGAAGTGGCCCTTGAGCCAAAAAGTTTGCCCACCCCTGCTTTAGATGGTGGGCCAGGAAGGGAACTAGGGCAGAGTATTAAATATGGACTAGTCCAGGTGCAACGGCGGGGTTGCTGATGCGGTTGGTTTAGTGTACATGTCATTGAACGAAGGTGAGCTGGACATTTCATAGGCAAATTTACCATGGTTCTTAATTTTACTTTTGGTGTTTATTTTATGGTATTTAGGTGCTTTAGAAATACTTCAGAGGGGCAGATATTTTGTTGGCTGGCTGAGGATCAATGTAGTTAAAGAGCAGTTACATCCCTTATTTTGCAATGGGGATAGTATTTTCAAGGGTAATTTAAAAGTATTTGTTGAGCAATGTTGGATTTTGGCCCTATAATCCTTGAAAAGTGATTCCTCAAGAAATTCTAAGAGTAAAAGAAGTTATTAAATTTTTTTGCAAATTTAAAAATAACTTTCTGAAAAAAAGTTCCAATAACTGACATTTTTAAGTTAATAAGGAGCACTTGTTTGTATTGTTATTTACATAGCTAATTTGTTTACTGAGAGTTGTACTAACAAGATAAAAGAGCGCCAAGCCCAGGTTCTGAGCAGCCAAGACAAAATGCAGTGCATACCTAACAGCCCCTTATAACCGATTCACCGAGAGCTTTACCCTAACAGCAACATGAGTATAACCTTACCATCCGGAAAAATCCCCTACTAGAGTCCCAGTGTAGTAACTGTGCACAATACCCACTGAACACGAAAAGCACTTTTCACTTCTCTAGCTGTAGATTCCATATCTCCTGGCTCCCACTACTGTGCCTACATGAAAAGACCATTTATCCTGCACTTGCTATAGTAATTGCTTAGTTCAAGTATATATAATCATCATTATTTGAAAAGCAATTTCCCTTTGGCGCCTTCTTTTTTCTCCCTATCTGTTGTGTGTGCCTAACCCCCACCCAACCACCTGCTAAAAACCCAAGGAGTCAGTGGAATGGCATTAGAGTTCAGGACATTCTTCTTCCCCCAGCCAAGTTGCATTGTGCTTTTCCCATTTATTCTGCTCCAAAACCTCATCAGCCTACTCCTGAACCAGATGGGAGGCTGGTGAGGAAAAATAGTGTAATACAATTATGATGGATGCAATGTAGTGCTGATGGAGATTTGGATGGTCTAATTAATGACACAAGAAGAGACTTTTGCTTTCATTGGAGGATTCGGTCTCATACTCAGAGAGAGGGTGTGTATTTCTGAGTTCATCTGGCAACTTCATAAGGACTGCTAATGGGGCAAGAGTAGGTTAAAGAGGAGCCTCCTGCTAGTTTACTACAATCCCACCATCATACACTGATCTAGCACCTTTCAGCCCCAAGGATCCCAAAGAGACGTACTTACACACACAATCCCCTGCGGAAGCACACCCAGCGCTGATGACAGCCAGTTAAGCAGCCATTGCGCAGAGCCCTTCCCAGCTTTGGGGGTGAAGCAGAAAATAGGCTGGAGTCTAGAAACCAAGTGTATATGAGGGGAAATGGGCTTTTTACGCTTTGTCAGTTAGTCTCGTACTACATTTCCTCTGCTGCTTCTTTCATACGGCGAGAGTGGAACAGTGAAAGCAAAGGCGGGACTACAGTTAAAATCCACTTACTCTGCTTACATGAAAAAACAAGATTTTTCTGAGTCCCTTCTCAAAGCAAACCCCCTCCCTTCCTCTGAAGGAATTAAATGCACATCATTTTTCCATGTAATGATTTTGCCAAGCTGGGAGGGCTTTCCAAGGATTTCTACCCATGTATGCCCCACCTGAGGGTGCAAATGCAAGTCCCAGCATACATTCCCCCCTAAGAAAGTCTCTGGAGTTCAGTGAATCTGCACCATGGTAGCTCTCACTGCAACTTCATCTATTATACCTCCCCTCAGCATAAAGGGAGGTATAATAGATGATATAATAGGTATTATGCTATTATTAAAGCATAATAATCTCCCGCCGGTTGTCTATTTGGAGGTTTCTTCCAGTTTATTTTGCAAGTCTTGGCTATGGCGCCAGGCTTTTTCTCCTGCTGCTTGTTTCACTTACTGCTGATGTACTTCACTGTGCATTTGGTTAATAGCACCTTGAGCACAAAGAATGTATCCTGGGTTACCCAGGGCTTTCAGAACCCAAAGCAGTGGAAACTTAACTGTTTCACTCCAGGCAGTGTCAGGAATAAATCAATGGGAGCTCAGCACTTCCGGCTGATGCAAAATTGATATGCGTAAGAGTGCTCTTATCTAAAACACCAATTTATTAGATGCAAGCACACTCACACATAAGCAATAGGTTTAGAACATCCCGGATAATTACCTAGAATCTGAGCTGGTATTGAGAAACTAGCAGCAGGTCCATGATGGCCAGGCTCTTCGCCAGGGAGTACGATGTCAGGAAAATCTCTCAGGATAGCTTCAGAGAACTGCTCCAAAGTACACTCTATTACCTAGTCTTTTTATAGCTAACTTTTACAAAACACACAGCTTACTTACCCTACTGAGTCATCACCTCTCCTAACTACAATAAACTACTTATCAACAAAACATGTCTAACAATCTTAGTCATAATAAGTTTCTATATCAAACACGCCCAAACTCAAGGTCTCCATCCACTTATTTTCTTTCAGTCTCAATTTGTTAACTCTTTTCTCCCCACCTCCCATTCTGATTAGCAGAAACTGCAAGCCTGCAGTTAGCATCTGACCTTGCCTCCAGAAGTCCTGCTTCTTCACATTAGCCTTCAACTAGATGGTGTTCTATTTTATTAATTCATGGTGGGTGGATGCACACAATATAGTTGCAATTAGCTTGATCAAAGTCTGGGGTGACAACACCCCTCCATTCCGGGGCAACATCCTGGGGGGGGGCTATCATTTGATAGTTACTTAGCAAGGCATTTTCCTCCCCTCGACTCCCCACACACCCGTAGTTAGTGCCTTGCATAGAAGGCTGTTCTATGATGGCTCTTTTAGCATTTCAGATATTTTTCATGTGCATCAAATGCTCCAGTTCAGATTGCTTTTCCACTCTTTCTGCAGCCATGGCTAAGCATCTACTGAACAATTTCAAATAAAGTTCAGTGTCTGGCTACAACCAGAATGTTCACAATTAAGAACCAGCTTCTGCTTTCAGTGACAGCAGCTCTCTAGCACCCAGGGAGTCTTCAAGAGCAGAGGACTCCCTCTCTAGACAAGCTAGCTGGCTCTAAGGTTGCTTTATGGCACCAGAGTGACAGGATCTGAGCCAATACATTTATAGATAGAACATTAACGCTCTTCTTTATATTGTGAAGGAAGATTCTACTCATGGGCTCTGTCCTGTTGGTCAAGGCCAACTGAGTGAGGCCTCTATTGCACTGAGTGGCTCCCACATGCCCCATGCTCTCTACTTACATCCTCACCCCCTCAAATGTATGCCATAAGGCTCAGCACCGCCTTTCTATTTGACTCAGGTGCTCCTGGGTTCTTTGGATAGAGTTTAGGCTAATACGATCTCTTTGGGAATTCCTAGCAGACGGGCCTCGCTGCTCAGGAATGTACCCGTCAGACACCTGGCACGCAGTTGGGCAGCTAGTCCCTCGTGCTGTGGCTACCCTCTATTTTTAGTGTGCTCGCTTGATTAGATCTAGCATGGCTGTGCCGCCATGAGGTGGAATTTACACCTCTAGCCTGATGTGCAGATATTGCCTTAGGGTATGTCTACACGTCAAACACTTGTGCAGCGCTTCAGTGTAGACACTCACTATGTCAATGTGAGGAGTTCGCCCAGCAGTGCAGTTAATCCACCTCCCCAAGAGGCAGCAGAGAGGTCGACCAATGAAAGCTTCCATTGACCTAGCACTGTCTATGCTGGGGTTAGGTCGGCATATCTATGTGTCTTGGGGGTGGATGTTTCATGCCCCTGAGGGACATAGCTATTCTAATGTCAATTTCCAGTGTAGACAAGCCCTCACTGTTTACATAGAATCTACCCCATTGAGTCTTCATTTAAGACGTTAGGGCC